GTGCTATAGGTTTCTTTTAATGCTCCTGTTTGAATTAAATCTTCGATCGTTGCATTTATTCCCTCTTCTGCTTCTGGTTTTAGTGGGTATTGGGCCTGATAAGGCAGTCTTGCATTTGGCTTTAATTCCATTTGAACTGGGGTTGCTGATGTCACCAGTCCAACATCTGTGTCGTGTTTGGACCATAGTTGGTCTGGAACCTGTTTTAGCATGTCAGCTTTCAACTCATTTAGAACCTTTTCTGATTCTGTAAAGCCTTGAATGTGTCTTTTGCTTGCAACCGCTACAATGGAACAGCTCCTGATTCCAATAAAGCCCAAGTCCAAATAATCCAAAATAAATGTCAAAGCTGTTTCAAACTATCTGTCGCCATCTTATTCCACTCTGTTGCATCATCCCACCCACCACACGAATAGAAGGTCCTGATTGACCCACAAACCTGATAAAGCGCTGTGGTTGGTCCAGAAAGGAGATTGCGGACCATATATATGGTTCTTTGTGCTTTGCTTACCCCATTGGGCAAACCGGGAAGCTGGCTTGAACAGCTTGTTCAGGAAGTGAACTAGCTTTTATTAACTATTGTTTATCAATTTGGACTAATCAGAATTTGACAACTTAAAGTGGGCGTCATCAAAGACCTCAGACACCACTCCTTCACTCAGACACTTAGGGAGATTATATTTCTTAATATGTCATAAAAATGTTAAACATGTATGTGAAGCAACAATGTGTTCAGTCATTAATGATATAGTGATATTAAAATGCAAATATACTGATAGATTAACATTATTAAATTCAATAAATGTACCAATGATATAATTGAAGATCTGAAAGAAATCTTTATAGGAATAAACATTCATGTTCATTCATTATTCGTTAATGTAAAGTGTTGGGCACATTATTAAACACTTTAGACTTAAACATATTGTCCATTCAACAAAATAAGATTATATACAACTTTTTAAATTACATAGTCATTTTATGAGCTAGAAAAGAGAAACTTTATTCAAAGAGGATAGATAACAAGTCTTACGTCTTCTGCAGTGTCTTGATGGATAAGTTAAGATTATTGGGTCAAGTTCATAAATACTCATATCGATACCACAAGCCAGAGTGGCCTGACCATACAAGTATGGCCTGTAAGTTAAAAAGTTAACTTGTGGTCATTTTGATGAAATACTTGGCCATTTTGCCAAAATCACAAGAATTGTAAAAGAGCTCATATGGTCGGTCTCAAAGTTCTTCCTGTATGGCTGATAAGTTTAGTTTGAACTCCTGGTTAGCACTGACACGGTTGCTAGACAACATGACACCTGCCAAGATAAGGCCAGGAATAAATCTGAATGGTAGACCATTCTACTTCACTTCTAGTGAAGCTGACGTATGGCCCAGCCTACATCGACCAGGTAGGCCAGGTCTTTTGAAAGATGCAGCCCCTGAATTTTGATACAGTCATGAATAAATTTACATTTATGTCTGTACTAGAAGTAAACTCTTCTTCTGCTGCCATTCTTGTTGCTGTACTGTTTTATCTGTAGCAATACAGTTTAGGAATTGGACAGCAAGAGCCGTTGTGCATTTCAGAGAAAACAGAATCCCTTCCATGTTAATTGCACAACTCATTAAACTCACTACCAAAGCCTAGTCTGTTTTTATAACAGAATGATCAAATTATCATCTTAATTTATAAGGGGTATGACATTAAAGTCAGCCAAACCAACACATCCCTGCATTTACTGCCCTCACAACAGATTGTGCAGCAGCAGCCATCAGACACTGAGAAGCTGAAGGAGGCTGTGGTGAAGACAGTGGGACAAAAAATTAAATTAGGAGCAGAACCACAGCTGACTGTACCCCGTAGAGAGATTGTTGTGGTCCACAGAACAAAGAAGACACAAAATGACACCTGCTTCTCTGTGCGCTACAAAAATACTTTGATTGAATTTTCAAAAAAAAGTTTGCAGCTCCCTTGCCTCTGAAAGAACCTATTTAACTGTTGGCATTATATTATTGTTAGCATTACAACACCTTGTGTCTGAGCGGTTATCGTTTTGTTGTTTAAATCTCTTTTTTCCATGATTTTCAGCGATTATAAAATATTTTTGTCTAAAATAATATTATACAAAGAACTTCAACTAAATGCAGCAATGCGGCTAAACTACAAGCCTTTCAAGTAAACCTTGATATAATTGTAGGATGGCTTTAAAAGTATTTTAAAAAATCAGTAGCATCTAACCTTTCAGTACCTCTGCTGCTAATAAAATATTTTGTTTTAAGATTTCTTTTCATTTAAAATCTATTTTTACACAATCGTCACATTAAAGACTGTCTTGGTTGACTGTGTGCCTCATATTTCTATTGTATGCACATTTGCATGCAGCAAAGTGCAAGGAGAGCAATGTTTTAAACAGTTAATCTGACCAGACATCACTATCTGAATGGCTACTTATAACCAAACAAATCACAATTCCTCTTTGCTCTGCATAGAAACATGACATTTTATTTTGAGTGTATTCTTGGTGAACCTCAGAGATCTTGGTTAGATGTAACACTACTTGGAATAAAAAGTGTAAAAAATATGTGCTAATGCAAACCAAATGGCAATGACTTACTGATAAAAAAGGTGATAACTAGCAAACAGTAATGGAGCAGCATACATTTGTGAGCCTCATACTTTGGTAGTGTCATTGCAGCAGCAGCAAAGTGTTCAAAAAAACGGATCTGCTTCCTGATAAAAGATGAGGTCTGATCTCAGTTTTCTCATAGGAGCACCTCTGCTTTTTTGCAAAATCACATAATTTCTTTATTCCTTGGAGTAGACTGCCACTTAAAGAGGAAAAGTTGTTTATTTATCAATCTGACAACTAAGCAGGACCACAAATAACAATACTGAGGTGTCTCAGGATGCAGAAAAAGAAAGATGATGCGATTGTCAAACAATAAAAAAAACAGAAATTCACATGAGTATTTCTTTTACCAAAAACCTTATTATTCAAAGTGGATAATCAACAGCACACTGTAAGAAATGAAATGTTGAATTTACTTAACCAAGCTTTGTCTACTGGTTCCACTAAACCTGCTTGATTAAATGTAAAGAGTTATATATTTTGCTATGTTAAAGATAAATGTATTTTACCAGAATGAGCAATATGGTTTTAGTTCTAGTTGTGGACCACTGGACCAGCTCTCTACCCTTAAAGCCGGGCGTACACTGTGCGACTTTTTCACATTTTTGAGCCGATTTTCCAATCGTGCGAGAATCCACAAGATCGGGGCGAGTTTTGCGCCGAGCGTCGTGTAGTGTACAGGGGGTTACGAGAGGCGATTAACACCACGTGACCAGCTACCGATCAGCAATCGTGAGCTCGCACAAACTTCTGGCCTGTTTGATATTTTGCTCGTCCCTCGTGAGGGTATCGCACTGTTGAAGTGACGCTGCGAGCAGCTGCGACCCAAAAAGTATCAGAACCGCTCACGGCGCATGCACAATCATGCATCACCACCGCTCGCCTGCTGTTTCCCTAATAACACACGTTGTTCGTTTTTATTTCTACACTTTTTTTACTCACAAAGATTGTCAAGAAAGTGTGTTTGTCATGTTCATGTCAAATTAAACTGATCACAAAACACAGATTTACTTTCTTTATTTTGTTTTCGTCATCCAACCCCCATAAATCCCTGTGTGTCCCCCTGCAGCACTCCCGAAGGACATCAGGCAAGACAAAAAAGTCTGACGTGTTGTGTAAAAACGGCTATTTTTAGCATATTTTTAGGTCCGACGTGTTGCTACCAGATGTACAGTGTGAGCAGTCAGGTTGCATCCGAGAACTGGGTCGTACAGTGTGAGCACATGGCTCGTGAGATCTGCCCTGCGAGGAAGTCTTACAGTTTGAGCTGAAGCTGAGTGCTACGAGTGAAAAAGTTGCACAGTGTTCGCCCAGCTTAAGGGGGTCCTGGAGATGCGTGGGTGTTCGCCCAACCAATCTACATGCATACGACTGTGTCCCGGGAAGCCCTGTGGGGGGTGCTTCAGGAGCATGGGGTACCAGGCCCTTTGATAAGGGCTGCTAAGTCCCTGTATGACCCAAGTCAGAGCTTGGTCCGCATTGCCGACAGTAAGTCGGGCTCGTTCCCAACGAGTTGGACTCTGCTGAGGCTACCCTTTGTCACCGATTCTGTTCATAACTTTATGGACAGGATTTCTAGATGCAGCCATGGTATTGAGGGGATCCGTTTTGGTGGTCTAAAGATTGAGTCTGCATTTTGCTGATGATGTGGTCCTGTTGGCTTCATCAGAATGTGATCTCTGGGTTTCGCTGGAGCAGTTACCTCATCACTCACATGAATCAAATACATTTACTCAAAAGAGGAAGTGGTCAAGAAAGAGCAGAGCGTGAAAGCATTTTTTTCTGTTATTAAAATTAACCGTTATTCCTAATTCCTAACCGTTATTAACCGTTAAGGGCGTCAATATTTATAATACTTATTATTTATTTACAATACTGACTAAAAAGGCTGGTGTATCCAGCTGCATGAATTGCCTCACTGTTCAAGCACATCTAATGTGCAGTCCCACTTCACTGATTTGAACACATTTTCCAGACTTAACCAATCATTTATGCAGAGGACAATACAGACGCATGCTAATTTGAGAATGTGAGTCATAATAATACGATAGAAGAAAGGAAACGTGATAATAGTAAATTATCACCCAGACACATTGTGTGAATAAAACTAGTGTACCAGAAATAAGAGAACTGCAAATAGCCTTTCACACTTGGATCTCTGACCACATCTGCATTCTGACACCCGGTAAACTGACTTCTTCTTGTTCACTGTGAGGGTTTCTATGAATTACCACGCACTATGTCTGCCATTTACATTTGCAAGGTTACCAAAGGGAGAGAAACCTCAAATGAGATAATTAACAGGTGTATTTAGTGAACTGATTGACAGATTTTTTTAATGGTTTCTTCAACAAACGAATTCACAGTATTTACCGTATACGAGCTTCAGTGTTAGCTGCTGCCTGGCTGTACTGCTCCGTTGTCTGTCTGTAGTTGTCGAAGTTCTGCAAACAAAAGGCATGAAAAGAAAATCTATACAGGATTTTTTAACAGAAGAAAAGCTCATGAAAGCCAATTTTCACTTAATATTTTGTGTTAAGTGAGCCGCACACACAGAATTTGTTTAATAGCTGATCGTATTTTCAAATTTTTAAGTTTAATTTACTGTTGAAATCAAGTTTAATCAACAAAAGATGAACAACTTGCACATTACCACAGTTAGAACTGCATTTTCTGCTATAATTAAAAATGTAATAAGGCAGAAGTAATGAGCTAAATGCATAAAGCACCACTGGAAATGCCACATCCCATAAATTAGTGACCTTTGAGTTTTACAGCCTGCTTACAAATCTGAATATTGGCAGTCTGGTGGTACTCCATAATGTTTTATTTCGAGTGAGAAACCGTGGCATTTAAATAACAATTACAAAACAAATGCAGCTTATACCTAGTGGGCAAAGTCACATACGGCACACATTTAACACAATAATCAGTGGTCAAAGGGGTAATTATCCTGCATTATGGACTATAATGCAGATAATGTGGGTACTCTTTTCTAAATTCAAAGTAAATTCAGCAGCTCAGTGAGTTGATCATCATAAAAGTTTTACAACATGAAGACATTTGTCTAAAACACTTTAAACACAGAGAAAATCTCTCTTGCCCCCCTCTCATTCACACTCACTTCAGTAATCATCATTATTTCAACCAATAACTGCAGCACTCAAGCTTTTACTTAATTATTCTCTATAGTCCCAAAAGATAAGGTGATGGGAGAGGAAGATAATTGAAGTGACTGAGCAGAGAGGAGAAGGAATCAAACACAAACCTCATCCACAACCCCCCTCACCCTCAGCTCCTTCAGTGCCTGCGAGTCATTTTCATATCTCATTATTTTAGGCTCATTCTGCAGATGGTCTCTTCCTGATCTGAAAGTCTGGTGCTGAAGAAGACAACTTACTGTCACAGGCATCTTTGGCTTAATCGTTCTTGTTTTTCAGGGTATATTAATCTGCCCTGTTTCATGCCTTTTCTTGATTATTAAGGCAGTAAAACAGAAATGTAATATAAAAAGTGCAATTCCAATCAAGCGCCAAGTGTTATAAGATGCACTGTAGATCATGTAGGTATACGGCTCCAACAAGAGACAAATCTATCCCAAAATAAGAGAACGATGTGTCTACTGCAGTAGTTTCTCTTTTTTTCTTCTAAACTCAACTATGATGCAAACTTAGAAAACCTTTTGTAAGCCGCTTTTAGAAAACATTGCCACCAATTTGCTGCAATGCTGAGCCGGAATCAGGGGGCCTTGGGTTGTTTATAAGTGCTGAACCGTGGCGGTAATGTGGCGCAATTGTCTCCTTTTAACAAAAGATTATGTGACGGCAGTATAAAGGGGGTATGGGGCGGTCTCTGCACTGCTACAGACGTCCGTTTAACCTGGACACAACTTGCTTTTTATTGCGATCAAAGCCGCACTCGTTAGGTTTTTATTACAAGCCATTTCTAATAGTGTCTGTCCTCCACAGTCTCCGAGAATGGTCAGGTGATCTGAGCTCCAGCTCTAATAGAGAAAAGCTCCTGGAGCTCAGCATTGCTCCAGCTTATCATCTCAACTGGTTCTGTTCACAAAAGCAAAACTTACTGCCCATGTTTACTTCGATTTTCTAAATTATAACCAGCCGGAGCTCGGCAGTAACTACACTTGTGATCATGACACCACCCACTGTTGCACCAAGGCGTAAGCATTCACAAGTCAGGCGTTGCGGCAATTTGACTACCAAGCGTGGCGAAACGAATTCTGCTAAATTCCAGCACAGCCATGCTACAACCACGTGTTCATAAGACACACCATGGCGGCAGTACTATGCTGATTTGCTGGCATGGTGCATCTTCTAAAATGGGCTATAGTCTGACGGCAAAATTCTGATTGCTTCGTGTTTTGCGGGGTCTAATAGTTCCAAGTCTGAGGCCATGGCCCTCAATTGAAGAAGTATGGATGGGTTGGGATTGAGTAAATGCCCCAGGTTGATGAGTTCAGCCATCTCAAAGTCCCATTAGTTGTCACACACACTTATGTGTGTGCAAAATTTGTTCTCCGCATTTGAACCATCCCCTGGGGGAGCAGTGAGCTGCAGACACAGCCGCGCTCAGGAACCATTTGGTGGTTTAACCCCCAATCCAACCCCGTAATGCTGAGTGTCAAGCAGAGAGCCAATGGACCCCAGTTTTCCAAAGTCTTTAGTATGACCCAACCAGGAATCGAACCCTGATCTCCCAGTCTCAGGGCGGACACTCTACCACTAGGCCACTGAGTTCATCTCTGGGTATTGTTCATGAGTTAAGATGCAAGGGATCAACGAGTGGATTGAGGCAGCGCCTGCATTGATGTGGATATGGTACAAATCTACAGTGGTAAAAAGTAAAGATGATTCATTTTCTTTCAAACCCTCAGCTATGCTTATGAGCCATGGGCAACAACCAGAGAGGATGATATCAAAAATACAAGAGACTGAAATGAGCTTCTTCCTCAGAGAGGCTGGATTCACCTTCGGGGATAGCGCGAGGAGCTTGACTCATTAAGTGGAAGAGGACTGATAGATAATAGGTGATATTTCAGATTAGCTGCCTTGAATCTACTAAGAGTAAATGAGTGCCAGTAAATGTCTCAATCTGAGGGTTAAAGAAAGCTAGTTCTGGATTAGATGGCAAAAAAGAAACAGCAGGTTTGATTTCTTATTTGAGGGAAATAAAATATAATTTGGAAATACATGGGATTAAGTTAGCCACTTAGAATTCGGCCTTAGGTTAAGGGCTCAGTGTGTATGCTGAGCTCAATAGAAGGAAACCGTGTGGGACATTGAGAGTTTGATTCAAGATTTCAAAAAGGTCTCCACAGAAGCTAAAATTCATGGGCACCTTTGATTAAGCAGGAACTCGGAGGAAACCATGAAGCCAGCTAACTGATGCCAAGTCTTGAATATTTTGGAAAAGGGTCAGGCTGTGGTTGATAGAGTGCTCTCGTCTGGCAGAAGATTAAACAAATAACAAGCCAGGACGAGCACCAGAGCTGTAAAAATCAATATATTTCACTGAACTGCCGTTATTACATGTAATAACAAGTGTTGTACTGATTGTGTGCCTGTTCTTAAAAACATTTCTTTATAAATATTATGTTTCACACTTTTCTTTGAGACGTTACCAGCCAGGACGTCTGTCCGATCCACAGAAACATGGAAACCAGTGAGAGTGAGACTGTTTTGTGCTGCAGCAAGTAAACATATAATTTAGTGTCTTTTTAACCAAGCAGATTCCAAAACAGCAACTCCAGCTCTGCTCTCATGACACCAGAGAAGAGAAGGCACTATCTCTGGCGTACACACTCTGAGCTCTTCCCAGTGGTTTCCACCCACAGGCACAAAAGCCCAATGTGGAGAGACTGAAAAGGGGGGGAAAGATAACCCTCCAAGGGGAGAGAAGGGTTCTGAGGTTGCTGGAAAAGCTCATGGAGGGGATTAGTGTGGGTGCATTTGTGCTGTGTTTGTGTATAATCTTGCATACATGCAGGTGTGTGACTAAATCTGTGTTTGCACGTGAATCTGTGCTCAGATGATCCTTGCGTGCACACTTGTCTGAACACCCTCCAGAAGCTGTGGACTGAGATGGGCTGATGTCAGGATTTTGAGGGAGGGGTTGTTCTACGCTGCATGCTTGGATGGAGGCGGATTAATTTCTCTATCTAAAAAGAGAAACCGAAGGGGGGGGGGGGGGGGGGGGGATTAAAATAGGTGAATTTTAAACTAAGACTTGTTTACAGAGTCACAGGGTGTGTTGCCACGGATATTCTCTACCTGTACCCTGAAAAGATTAGGGAAGCATCCGAAAATAAATGAGGAGGGCTGGGGATGGGAAAGGAGCACATTCAGAGTGTGCTGCTGTATATTTGTATCCATCTGTCTGTGTACATTTGAAAGTTATGCAGTGGATACTGCAGACTAATTACTCCTAAAATGGCAGGCTGCACACAGACCTGCCACAATAATCACACATTTACACAAACACCCACACACTCAGCCCGTTGTCACATTTGAGTCCGCGGAGAACCCAAAACGACACTCACATCCTTTGGACAAACATGATCGCCTATTATCATCATTTATCCCTTAGGCACACTGGACACGAGTATAGGTGTGTGTGTGCATTTCACACAGGTAACAGACAACACACACATGCACAGGGTTCCAGTTTATTAAAATGTTGTACTTTAAGCCACAAAGAAATGCTGATTCAAGGGAGAGTCCTGCACCAATTATCTGTGGAGTTTCCTTTAGTTTATTGTTTAGACTCAGATAATGAGAACTGTGTAAAAAAGCAAAGCTCTGCATGCGCATGCCTTTTTTTCTGTAACGTACTCTACTGAAAGCTTAAATATATTATTATCAGAGGTTTTTGTTTCTTTAACTTCAGTATAATCCAATATAGTGCCAAATCACAACAAGTCGACTCAAGGCACTTTACAGAGTAAACGTTCCAAACTAGGTTTAGTTAGTTATGCAAATTAGTAAAGTTTTCTATGTAAGGAAACCCAGCAGATTGCATCGAGTCACTTACTTATGTCTGAGACTTTACAGCAATCCCCATACTAAGCAAGAGTGTAATGACAAGAGAGCAGACACTTACACACACACACACACACACACACACACACACACACACACACACACACACACAAATGTGCATGTGGGTAATATAAACTCTCAACTTCTAAGTAACTGTTTATTTCAGATCAACTAATCCCAGCAACAGCATTAAAGGTACTAACAGAATAGAGTATGAATGAGTACATTTCAAACTGCAAAATGAAGGAGTGTAAAGTGGAATGTGGTCTTTATTTAATGAACATTTCATATAAATGTTTTTTTTTTAATCTCACCTACTCAGTCCCTTTCTCTCCAGCTGCCTCACCCACATGCAGGTCAGCAATTAGAGGGGGGAGGGTTGTAGCAAAAGGGACTGTGGCAGCAAGAAGATAGATAAAGCATCCTGCACTCTTCTGCCAATCAGTCTCTTCCGTCAAGCATTGCAACGTGTGCCGCTTGCTCTGAGTCATGCAGGAGCCCTTCCATTAAACTTGTTCATGTAAAAGGTTCTCTCCAAGGCCTAAAGGAGGCAAGTGCCACCGACTAGATAAGGTGCCCCGTCTACCTGAGGAGCCCTGCTGCAGGGAGGAAGGAAGGGTGAGGATGAGACCCTAAGAGTTTCTACCAAATACTGGATGAGACAGAACAATCTAAAACAATGACAAACACTGTACATGTTAATGATTAGATCTGCTCATTAATGACTTTTAACTGTTCCTTTGTCCAGATGGGTCAGAAATGGGGGCCGGGCATTGATTTGATTTGATTTAAATAGCTTGTATTTCTATAGTGTCTATTAGGGTTCTACAACCCCCTGTCACGATGCGAGGTTGGTAAGACCCAAAATGCAGTAACCCAGGATGACACGAGGCAGAAGTTGAATAATAAAAAAAATCCTTTTATTTTAGGATGACCCAACAACAAAAATAATCCCAAAACGCTGGAAGCCAAAGTCCAAAAATCCAGATGAAGATCTGGAGATCCAAATACACAAGAGGCACGAGAAGACATGACAGAACTACAATACCAAACAGAGACAAGACAGGGCTTAAATACACAGGGAGAACAATTAAGGAAACAGGAAGCAGGTGTGTGGAGTGAGGGTTGGAGGGAAGGCAGGTGACACCAATTATTAAAATGGGGAAACAGAACCAATGGAGGGCAGATAAACCTAAAACACCAAACTAAACCTAAGACTGAGGGAACGACTCACACACACACACACACACACACACACACACACACACACACACACACACACACACACACACACACACACACACACACACACTACCACACACATAAACTCACACACACATACACTGAACTGGGGAATGGACACACACACACACACACACAAACACCGAACTGGGGCAGGACACGCATGCACACACACACACACACACACACACACACACACACACACACAAACTCTGAGCAGGGGAATAATTTTAAAGGGCTACAACATAAGACACATAACTGAGACGCAGACAAAGGACACATGAGGGCGCTAAGAGACACAAAAGAGAATCTAGAGAGGGATGGAGAAACATCAGGAGACACATGAAGGAAGACGCAGACGCAGACCATGGCAGGAAGACGCAGACGCAGACCATGACACCCCCCAAGGTGCTTCACAACACATCCAGTCATCCGCACACACACACACACACACACACACACACACACACACACACACATACACACATTCACCCACTGGTGATGATGAGCTATAATGTCGCCACAGTTGTCCTGGGACACAGTGACGGAGGCGAGACTGCCAAAAACAGTTGCTACCGGCCCCTCTGACCATCACCAGCAGGCAAAGCTGGTGGCTACTTTTCTGCTGCTTTTGATAGAACAAAACTAAAAATACTGTAAAACTTATTTTCTTGGGTCCAAAATGAGCAGAATAAAGTAACTGAATGCATAAACCTTTTTGCTCTACATATGTAAGATTTTCTGTTAAACATTTACATACGTGCTAATTTCATGGGGAAAACACTCACCTTTTTCTCCAATACATCTAATTTCTCTTTATAGAAATTGGAAATGGTGGCCAGCTCCTGTTCTTTCTGCTCCAGTCGTCTGGCCTGGAAGGGAAAACAACCCAAAAAGAAATGAAGGATGAAAGCAAAGATTAAAAACTAATAGAAAACTGACTTTCAAATGACAGATTATGAAAAACTGCTGCTGATTGAGCTGTGATAATGCTATGTAAATTCTGACTGGGACTAAAAATAAAAGTAAAGAAATAAGGTGCCTGCTTTGAAATAACATACTCTAAAAATAAATTTCTAAAATGACCTGCAAAGTGGCTAAACTGATCGGAAAACATATTTACACTCTTTGCAAATGAACACATCTGGATCACCAACTGGTATTAACACAGATGTGATAGGAGAGCAAAGATCTGCAGCTAATTAATATATAAAGATTTCCCCTAACTGAAAAAATTCAGCCCAGAAGAAAGCTTGTGAATACATATTTTACACTTATTTACATTTGAACAAAAAGTAACAATCATCTCTCCACCATGAACAGTAACCACCATGCACACGTTCCTAAATCACACATTTATAAAATAGCAGTATCACATTTCTAAAGCTGATTACACACACAAGGCCACTCGATGTGGCTGTATACTGCACTATACTATAGCTGAGTCTACATTTCAGCTTTCCATTGTGTTTCCCAGAGCAGTACCTGGAACTGTTTTTATTACTGTGCAATCAGGTTTTAAGCACACAAGTGTGCTTATGTTACAAGCTTAGCTACAAGATGCATTATTTATATCCTTTAACCAGCAGAGAGCAGATCAAATATCGGAGCACAGTGCTTCATCAAGATTTATAACAAATGTGAAAAGTATAAAGTTCAACCTTTCACAAGTATTTGGTTTAAAATGGCTTTTTGTGTTATTCTGAATTTTAATCAAAGAACATTTTTAAATGTCTTCTCCATCGGCACCGAGTTTCCAATCACAATAATAATTTTTGGTGTGAAGATGTTAAAATATGTACGTAGAAAAAGGCTCAGACGTGCTATTTTGTGGTACACTGACATAATGTAACTCCACTTACAAAACTACAGAGGTGGCATGGGGCTGGCACAGCTGTGGCAGGAGCTGACACGGCGTCGCTGACATTAGGATGAGGTGAAAGTCTTTAATAAGCCCAGTGAGCTGAGCTTTGACAGGCAGCACGATGAAGGAATGGCAGCTGGAAGACCCAGTTTGGGCCGTGGCAAGGCAGCATGCAAGCAGAGGAAGGCAGAAGGCAGATGTCAAAAAAAGGGACATTTTAAAAATAAGTTGGCAGGTTAGCCTGAACACAGACATGTTCATTTTATATGTAGTTTCTATAGGGAGCCTAAGTCTCCTCCCTTTCTGGTGGGCTCATGGAACCCAGGAAGAATGCAGTGTTTCCCCTACATAGGCGTAGCCGTGGCGGGCCGCCACGGCTGAAATCCCAGCTCCACGCCTACAAGATCCCAAGTTTTATTGATACATTTATTTATTTTGCACTGTTTCCCGAAGAAGCAGTGAGAACTACTCTGTTGTTGCTTGTGATCACAGCCAGCAAGCAGCAAGGAGGAGGAGGCAGGGCAGGGGCAGCGCCTGGGAGGCGCTATAGCTACCCCTGGATTAGACATTGTACCCCATAGCACCCCGAAGTAAATATTAGATTTTTTTTTTTTACATTTTAATTTTAATTTAACGTGTGGATGTGATAATATTTAACATACAAAACAAAAATAATCAGTAAACTGTCATGTAGATAGTAAAAACTTAAACCAAAACAGGAAATTGATGTTAACCTTTGACCTCATTTTCCACCTGCGAACGAGTGAAAGGTAGAGCTAGTGGTAAAATGGATCGGTTTTTGTTGCCCAAATTTCCACGGATTCAGTCAGAAACGAATGAATCTTTGGAAGTGATCTCAGACCCACAAAAACCTATGGATCTGGATGAAGAGGGTCAACCCTCAACCGCCGCAGCAGTCGAGGGTTTTGCCGCTGGAAATGCTAACACTAACGTTAGCTAACCTTGCAACACTATAGATAGGTTTTCTGTGTGGCTGTATGTGTTTATGATTTCATGGAAAAGTCAGCGATTGTTCATATGTTTAAGATGTATATTAATGATTGTTTCAGGTGTTGTTGAGGTTTTGTGCACGCATGTGTATCTGCTAGTGTTGAAGTTGTTTTAGAGAACAATAGGTACGCATGACCACTTCATTCATAGCACCCTAAATAAAAAGACTAGCTCCTTCATAGCACCTGCAGAAAAAAAATTCTGGAGCCGCCACTGGGGCAGGATGGTTACAGCTAGGGATGAGCCGGATAAAGCATTTTTGATGAATACGAGCATGAAACGAGTAAAACTTGTAAATATCTGTAATCGTGCTGAAGGAAGATCCTCATTGGGTCACTGACTGTCTTCACGTTCTGTGACTGGCCAGTCACACAGAGCGCCCGCCCCTCCCTACACACAAAAAACTACAGCCGGGAGCTCAGTCCATCTGGCCCATCCACGCACATACATAGACAGTAACGGATCTCTCTGTGCTTGCTTCACTGCTGCTCACGTTTCTTCAGTGCTCCCTAGGTTTTCTTCAGCTCGCCTCTTTTTCGGTTGAATATTTAAAGTTACTTTTTTCGTAACGTACGTGGTGCATTTGACAAGACAAAGCTGAAAACAGCTCGTACATGTGTCGGTCACTGCCTTCGCTCCGGTCAGTTTTTTTTTTTATTATTTTAACTCTCTCTCTCTCTCTCTCTCTCTCTCTCTCTCTCTCTCTCTCACACACACACACACACACACACACACACACACACACACACCTTAATCAACATTACATAGCAACTTCTGACCAATCCATACCAATTTCAGATTTAAAATAATGTATTGATGTAAACCACGCCCACTAATTTCCAAATAATAAATAAGAGGTGCATTCATCTGTGTATCTCCTTTGATCCACATTAGTGATATTTTCAGCACCAGAACAATGAAGCAAAGAAACAGATTCCTTAGTTTATGTAATTTTATTTATTAGGTGCATCTGATCTGTTCTATTTGTCTCCGAAATGAGATCAAATCGGTGCTTCTATGGGTTGTCTCCTCTCTGCACTAGAAAAATGTACTTTATTATAATGTTCACTGTAATGCATCTTGATGTTCTTAACAAATAAATTATATCAAAGATATTGGTCAATAATTCCAAATATGTAAATTTGTGTTTCAGTCATTTTTATACTGGCTTAAAAATACTTAATTAAGTCTACTAAGCAGGGGTGTAGAACGTTATTAATAAAGCCAGCCCAGTAATGATCTTGGACCAAAATAAAGGGGGCAGAAAGTCAAATAAAGGGGGGCAGAAGGAGATGTTTTTCCAGACGCCAAGAAAAATTAAATGCCAAATCCCCCCTGCAAAGTGTGTCACTGAGAGTTTAAAACAAAAATTATTCTTGTGCAAATATTGGTGTATTCACCTTTAATGCTAGTTAATAAAATGCAGCAGTCGCTGGATTGATGCAGTTCAAAGTGGAGTGCATCAAATAAAACAATATTAACATAAAGGTGAGATGTCATAATCCCCACCACCACCACTGGAAAAATTGCTAGGGGAAACACTGGAATGAAAAAAATGAAAACAAGTCAACGGGGCTCAAACTACTACCGTACTACTGCTTTTTAATCTGCTTTGCCTTACGCCCTGGATCACACATATGTTGTAGTTCAATTTAAGTCAAAAGTAGCAATGTGTTTAAACCACACCTGTCACGCACTTTGAGATTTATCAGCTTGTAAAAATTGGTAATTACTATGACTACAAATTAGACCTCACATTCATGACGTCACCACAGACTGTCCTCTGACCCAGCATAACTACTGCCTACCTCGTGGTGAGGTTTATGGTGGTTCTTTCCTTTGAACATCTTTTTGTACATTCGTTCTGAAGAAGGCTGCAGGATTAGCTGAAACTTGTCAATAAAAAAGGGTAAAAACAAATCTTCTACTATGCTGTGTTTAATGAAGAAACAGAAGAGTTGTTCTGTCCTCCTAAAGGAAGGATTTGAAGCTCACTGAACTTACAGCCATTTTTCCTCTGCTCTTCTCCATGTCTGGTTTGATGACATCTATTTATTGATGCGCATTTGTACTCCTGGATGTATTTTCACACAAAACCTAAAATAACTTTTGCCCCCATTCAAAATAAGTACATCCTTGGCTTCAGAATGTGTCTTTAAAATTCACGGGCATCATGTGTGAAATCCATGGCACATAACTAACAGATTAGAAAATAGTGATTTTAGCCCCATTGACTGGCATTGTTTCGTTCTTCCGGGGACCCATGGTCCAGCAGTAGATGGGCGTGACTTAGGATCCCTATAGAAATTAAATGTAACTAGATTATTACAAGTTACATTCAAAGATTGATGATTAAAAACAAACAGATCTTTATGAAAAAATAATAAAGTTACATAAACAGATACGAATTTGTAAGAAAGGTTCAAAAACAAAGGAAATAAATGAAGACGGAAACCAAAGGGCAGGCGTTATTAAGCACTGTCAAGCTTCAGGCTGGGCAGTAAAGTTATGATGCGTTAAGTATAATCAAGGTATATCATACACACACTCATAAAACTAGTTTGAACTCACTTGTTTAAAATCAAATGGAAATAAAACGAGACAAACTTTCAGCTAAGGTCAGATACACATGAAGATCAACTTCCTATAGTGGGTCCTCCTGTGAGCAAAAGTACTGCTAATGTTACACAAATGGATAATAGTACATTGTACTCGTTATGCACATGTCAACATAGAGCAACTTTTCTTTTGGCTTCTCACACTCTTGCTTATTTAAAGACAGCTGGTAGAACCTCACTTATCACTAGATAAACTTTTATAATTATAGCACGTCATCACTAGTATAACAGCAACATTCTCAGCAACACCAGAATTAAAACTGAATTACACATTAATGTTTATGTTTATGTATTTAGCAGACGCTTTTGTCCAAAGCGACTTACAAGTGATAATTAGCATGTTGCCCTTGAGGCTAACAACAACAATAACAACAACTTGACATTAATCATGGAGAGGAGGGAACAAATCAAATCAAATCACTTTTATTGTCACGTCACATGTGCAGGTACACTGGTACAGTACAAGCAAGTGAAATTCTTGTTTGCGAGCTTCACAGCAACAGAATCGTGCAAAAATACAATAATGTAAAAACAAGCAAAATATAAAAATGGCTAATCTAAGTAATAATATATATAGTATGTAAGGTATATACATTACTAAATGTGTGTGCTAAGTATTTTTTTTCTACGTGTGTGTGTGTGTGTATAATGGGTATATACATATTTTACAAATGAATAAAGTAAACAATAAAATAAGAGATATAAAATATAAAGTGGTTGGTATGTGCAAAACAGTGGCATTAATGTACAGTATGGAGTGTGTAATGTTGGAGTTTCAGTAGTGAGGGTGAGCTGTCTGCGAAGTGTTCAGCAGTCTGATGGCCCGATGGAAAAAGCTGTCTGTCAGTCTGCTGGTTCTGGACTGGATGCTGCAGAACCTCCTTCCTGATGGAAGTAGTCTGAATAGTTTATGGCTGGGGTGACTTGAGTCCTTGATGATCCTCCCCACTTTCCTCAGGCACCGCTTCCTGTAGATGTCTTGGAGGGAGGGACGCTCACCTCCAGTAATCCTTTCTGCACACTGCACTACTCTCTGGAGAGCTTTGCGGTTGTAAGCGGTGCTGTTGCCATACCAGGTGGAGATGCATCCAGTGAGGATGCTCTCAATGCCACAGCGATAGAAGGTCCTGAGGATGCGGCGGCTCATGCCAAATCTTTTCAGTCTCCTGGGAAAGAAGAGGCGCTGCTGTGCCTTCTTCACTGTATTGTTCGTGTGCACTGACCATGTAAGATCCTCAGCCAGATGAACTTCAAGGAAACGGAAGCTGCTCACCCTCTCCACAGCATCGCCGTTGATGGTGATGGGGGTGTGTATTCCTCTGCACCTCCGGAAGTCCATTATCAACTCCTTTGTCTTTGTGACGTTGAGGGTGAGACGGCTGTCCTGACACCAGTGGGTCAGGGCGCTGATCTCCTCCCTGTAGGCCGTCTCATCGTCGTTGGTGATGAGACCTACCACTGTGGTGTCGTCCACAAACTTCACAATGATGTTGGAGTTTCTAGTGGCTGTGCAGTCGTAGGTGTAGAGTGAGTACAGGAGAGGGCTCAGCGCACACCCCTGTGGAGCACCAGTGTTCAGTGTGACGGGGGATGAGGTAGTGCTGCCCAGTCTGACGTCTGTCAGACAGAAAGTTAAGGATCCAGCTGCAGAGGGAGCTGCTCAGTCCTAGATCCTGCAGTTTCCTGTCCAGCTTCAAGGGAATGATGGTGTTGAATGCTGAGCTGTAATCTATAAACAGCATTCTCACATACGTGTCCCTCTTCTCCAGGTGTGACAGGGCAGCATGGAGTGTCAGGGCTATGGCATCATCAGTGGACCTGTTGTGGCGGTATGCAAACTGTTGAGGGTCCAGTGAATCGGGCAGTGCAGAGCAGATAAAGTCCCTGACCAACTTCTCGAAGCATTTGCTCACGATGGGGGTCAGGGCTACAGGTCGCCTGTCATTCAATGAGGAGATGGTGGAGGATTTGGGTACAGGGACAATGGTGGCCATTTTGAAGCAGGCTGGGACTACAGACAGAGAGAGGGAAAGGTTGAAGATGTGTGTAAACACTCCAGCCAGCTGAGCCGCGCATGACCTGAGGACGCGGCCGGGAATCCCGTCCGGACCAGTAGCTTTGCGTGCGTTCGCCCTCCTGAAGCACCTCCGCACATCCTCTTCAGACACAGTGTGTGCACTGACGTCATCCGCGGTGCGCTCACTGTCCGGTCTCATGGTGTTCGCTGTGTCGAATCTGGCATAGAATGCGTTTAGATCCTCACACAGAGAGGCCGTGGTCTGTGGTGTTGTGGTTTCCCCTCTAAAGTCTGTGATTTTGTTTAGTCCCTGCCACATACTCCGGGGGTTGTCAAACTGTTGCTCTACCCTGTCTCTGTACTCACGTTTGGCTGCTTTGATCATCTTCCGGAGTGGTAATGTGCGTGTTTGTAGTCTGATGTGTTCGCGGAGACAAAGGCGTTGCTCCGCGCCGC